TAAATCATTATATTTAATCAAATAATTAATCCGTGCCATTAAAGTAATTTAATTTATCCAGCAAACGTGCGTGCTTATGCATTAAATTGCATCGTTATTGAGACTTTTCCATTTTTTTTGTTATTTTTATTAAATACTTAAAATCCGTGCAACTTAATTCTGTCGCAAAGTGTATGTGAATTCAAAATCCAAAAATGTGTTTGAATTTAAATTTTGTATATTTTATGTTTTTTGAATAGAAATATATAATCTTGTGAATTGATTCATATATGCCTGCGGATAAAACCATTCATATTTACTAACTTTAATTAATTTATTCACGAATGAAAATTATTCATTCATTTATTAACATTAAATTTTAATATAATTATTGTTAATTCTATGTTTCGTCTATCAGTTGTCTTTCAATTAAGCGTTAATTTGGAGCAAAAGGTAAAAGGTTTGAAGGCTTACTTTTGGATATGTTCCTGGATAAGTTGGCGAAAGTATAGATCCACGCTTCCTATAAAATAGAAAAAAAAAACTTTTTTTCTTTCTTTTTCTCTTTCTTCCTCTTTCTCTCTCTCTCTTTTATTATCCTTTCACTTCATTAAATCTGCATTTCACTCATTTCTTGAATAATTTAACAAAAATTTGCTCGGAAATACTTTTTTCGTCAAGATTAATGAAAAGTTTTTTTTGCTAATTTCCCATTAAAAATCAAATTCTCTTTTTATTCCAACAATTACTTTCTTCATTGATTAGGAAATGCATTAATTTTAAAAATTCAAATGTATCATCATTTAAATTTATTTACATCATATTCCAATATAAAATATTAAATTTTCTCACATAATTGACTTTCAGATTTTTATTCTTTTTCCAAAGAAAAAACATTGCATTAATTTAATATCAGCACATTTATTAAACAAGGTTTTAAACAGAAAAATATCTTACTTAAATCTTGAATCGATCACGAAATCACATTTACCTGGTGGTACTCTTTCACCCACCTGATAAGGTGCTGAAATACGATGTAAAATTGAGTTTAATAATTTGTGTGGAAATAAAATTTTAAAAAAAGTTATGGAAAAATAAAAATTTATGAGTTTGTAAGTATTTCATAAAATGCTAGGTATTAACTTAACTTTAACAGTAAGAAGATCCAGAAGCATATAATTGTATTTGCATAATTTAATTTAGGTACAAAAACCAACATAATTGTTTTCTTAATTAATTCCGAATCTTTTTTTTTCTTTCTTTTGACTATTGCTTACAGTTTAAGTCATTTATTATCTAAACATTATTTGTATTTTATATATTACACTTCTGGTTCTTTTTTTTTCGCTAATTAAATCTGCATATTTAAAATTAAAAAGATATAATTAAAATTTTATAACAGTTTAACCATCAGATATGAATGCATAACGACCACGGAATTTTAGAGCATTTCGTTGATTTGATATAACTCTCGAATGAAATACTAATACAATGACACGATTTAAACTGAAAAAAAAAGAAAGAGAAGGAAGAAATGAAGCAAAATTGTTGCTTAAAGTAAAAATTATTAAAAGCGTGCATTTAATAGATAAATTGCTAAATGTTGAATTTATCAAAAAATAGTGCTTTGAAAAATTAGACAAAAATAGTAAAATTATTAAAACAATTTTAAATATAGAAAATGAAAATAAATCATCTCTCAGATGGAATTATTTCACATCAAAGCTTAATTCAATCATTATAAATGAGTTTTTTTTTCTTTTATTAATTTTTTCTTTTATTTAAAGATTTTGGCTAAGAGTAAATTAGATTAATGATTAGTAATTTAGTAATTACCTAATCCTCACATATGGTGACACACTGCCGCAATAGCGTCCACCAAAAGCAGCAGAAAGCAAATCATCATCAGGTCCCTCCAATTCCGAATATATATCCACATATTCAGTTTCGCAACTATATAAAAGAAAAATTATAAACTTAAAAGTTTAATTTTCATTTAAAAATTTAAGTTTTATTCATTTACAAAATTTCCTCACTTTAATTGCACAAAATTTTGTAATTTAATAATTAATTTCTAGCTAAGAGTTTTTGTACGGAAATCTATTCGTTTAATTGTTGCATTAAATTTCACATCAAACGATCTTGCAGTTTAATTTCTGACAGGACCTTCTTACTCATTTTACAATTGTAATTTTGCACATTGCTATTTCGAAATAAATGGCAAATTTTTAAATATATTAAATCTAGTCGAAAAATAGCTACGAATTTTCATTTGAAAACTATTAGCATGTTTTATTTACAAAAGTTAATTTCTAATTCAATAACTAATTTACGCAAACTTTATTAAATTTCAATTTGATGCACAAAAAAAAATGAAACAAAAAGAAAGGAACTTACTTGCCAGCGGTTCCGGCTAAAAGAAATTGATCGAAATTGAGTTTTACTCTCTGCTTTGGTGCTGCGACAAACGTGTATATACACTGTAAAATTTTAAAATTTAACTCAAGTTCAATAGAGAAAAATCGATTAATTCAATTGCTTGATTAAATTGGAACATATTACTCATCTAAGTTAGCACTTAAATTTCAATCAATCAAAAAAATTAATGTAAATATTTAAAATTATGGCAAAAAAAAAAATCAGTTACTCTTACTTGCAAATTTTTTGGACCCTCCGATTGTGAAATTTGTCCAGAAACGGTAACTGAAGGTGGTAACATCGGTAATTGAAATTCACCTTCCGAAGTAGAAGAATCGAAGATATGATCACATTCTAAAGCTTCCTTACGATTCCACTATATTCTACCCAGTTTATTATTTTTTTTTTGATTTTTTGTGGTGATACTTCATTGTTATATTTAATTGATAATTAAATAAGTAATTTCAATCAAATAAATCATTCTTTCAATTCTGTTATTTAATTTCATTCCCTTCTTTCACCTTCTTCACTCAATAAAGACATGTTTATATTCATATATATACACACACACACACACATATATAGCCAATTTAATTATATCAGTAAGTAATATAATACTTTCTTGTTTTTCCTTTACTTAACAATATCCTTCTTCAATTTATTTTAATTAATCTTTATTAGTAAATAATTATTATCAACAAATAGCATAATGCTTTTCTGTTTTTCACTAATACCAAAACTTAGCAATATTCTTTCCCAATTTATTTTAATTAATCTTTATTAATAAATAATTAGTACTTAAATGCACTTACTCTTCGTATGATAATACACCTTTGAGCCAGAAGAATAGAATAAGAATCAGAAGGCATATAATAATACAGATAAACAGTAATGCAAAAAGTATATCGCAATCTAAGCCTCGACAAAATGAACAATCTTCTTTCAATTCTTCGTTTTTTTCATTATTTAATAAATTGATCCGAGCTTCTATGACACGTTCCAATGTACGCATATGAGCCATTTTTTTTTTTTGATTTTTTATTTTTGAACAAATAAAATTTTACTTTCGAAAATTTTCACTCATTTTTATGTGTTGAATAAATAAATTAACTGAAAAGGAAACAATAAAATATTATTAAAGTTAAAAATTGACAATAACGAGAAAATAGCACCGCTAATTAGCAAACTAATTTAAGAAATGATGAAATATGAATGAATGTTTAAAAATGATGCAAATGATGGATAAAAGATGGAAAACGAGTGAAAAAAAAAAGAAATGGAGAGAAAATTTTTCGGAAAAGTTATTTGCTAAAAGAAATTTCAGAAAAAAAAAAGTTTTTTTTTTTTTTGTTTCTTGTGAAATACTTTCTTTGTGTGAAATATATTAATTTTGGATGCAAATCTCTAATTTTCATCCTTTTTTGTCCTAAATTTATAGCTATAATCCAATGCAAAGTTTAAAGTTTAAATTTGAAATCAAAATTTTATGCAAAGAGCGCAAAAAAAAAAACATTTCAAATTATTCAAATGACGAGCTATATCATTAATCATGCCTATTTAATGCCAACAAACTAAAGAAATATGTTTTTTTTTAGTGAACAATCTGAATTTGATAAAGTATAATAATTGAAGATAATTAATCAACAACTGAAAGAATTGATCATCGAATCATATAAAATTACTAAATGATTATTAAAGATTAAAAGTTTCGAGAGTAAAAACGGATAAAAAAGAGTGATTGTTCTTGAAATTTTGAATTTTGTTATTTTTTAATCAAATCGAAGTGCCCTTACAAATAACATAATATCTGCAAAAATAAAAAAAAAAGAATTTCTGGTTGCTTCGATAAAAAAAAAGTTATTTTTTTTAGCGGTATATTTTATTGCAGAAAATTAGCAAAATTTTTCAATTTGATTAAACTGCATAAAACACTTTTTCGTTTTAAACTTTCTCAACTATCAGTAATTAAGTGATTCAAAATTGGTTAATCAAATAAAAATAATTGCATTTGACTAATTTCAGATTTTTTTCTTACATTTAAAACACTTCTCTAAATAATTCTTTTATTTTCATCGTAACAAAACAACTATAATGAGAATTGTATAAATTGCTTCATATTATCTAATTAAAATACAACCAATTAAATGAGCAATGAATAAATTTTTTCTCCCTTACCAAAAATTAAATTTGAACTTAATCATCAGAAAAAAAGTTCACAAGGAAGTTTATAGTCATAGTGTAATTAATTTTTACTAGAAATCTTCTAAACGAAAATAAATTATTGCAAAAAATTCGAAAACTACAAGAATCAATAATTAGATGAACATTTTTATCAATTAGTAATAAATAGTAAATTAAATTGAATTGATTGATTTTTTTTACACCAGTAGTGATTTAAAATTTTTTTTGATTAACTAATCATTTCAATCTAAGTCACTGTATCTTTTCTCAATGTTAATTAGTCACTCGTGCTTTTTTTTTTCCCTTGAAGTGAAACGTAAATCTATTTAAAATGCCAAAACTTTTAGTTTTGTCATTTTGTTATACGTGAGAAATTTTATGAATAAAATTTTAAGCAAATTTCATATTCAATTCTTTTTTAACTCTTTAAATTAGTGAAATTATTGGCTAAAAATTTGAAGAATTATCGAGGAATTTGAAAGAGAAGAATGAGTGGTGACGGTTGACTGTTTGGTGTTTGATTTGATTTTGAACGAATTGGTTGAATCGAATTGCAAAGCTTCATTTTAAAATAAACATTCATTTAAGTGGATAAGCAAAAGTGGTGATTGATAATATCGTAAGAAATGCATTTAATGGGGTATCATTCATATTCATCCATTTTCCGTTCCAATTCACCTATTTTCGCTTCTCGAGAAATTTAATTTGAAAATTTTATTTTAGGTAAACCACTGCTATATAAACAAAATAAATTACTATTTCCCCAAGAGTTGTTTATATTTTTGTCTAGCTCTTACTCTTACGAAATGAAATAAATTGATAAATTCGGATATTTGTTGTTTTGCAGGTATCATAGAATGATAGAAAAAAGGCTTAATTAATATTTACGTTTTCTATTATATTTATA